TGCAACTTCAGTTGGCCTCATCGTAGCTACACATTCATTTTTGTTCGATCGAAAGCACTATTCAAGTCATCGATATTGATCCTGACCGACACTCAAATTTGCACAAGAACAACCACATTCAAACACACAAGAGGTATTAAAATTTTTCAGAACGGTTCAAAAACCATATGCAATTAAAATAAGGAGCCACAAGCTCAAACATCTACAACACAATGCCAAAACACAATTTACAACATAAAACCCACTATACAAACAAAAGTAATAATCACAAGAGGTAGGTATGGAAACACCTCACCCCACCACAAATAAAAAGCAAATTGTCCTCAAATGCAACAAAAACACTAAAAATCAATAAAAGTGATAGAGAGGGAGGTAAAGAAAAGTCTTGTCTATGCAGTCGCTCATCTGTCGGGGAATCAGTACCAGATTTAACATCAGCAACACTCGATCCACTAGGGTCTGCCATGGACGTCTTTGTCAGCGATGTCTGAATCAGCGACTGTACAATCGTCTCGTTTAGATTTGGCAGGTCTCCATAGATAGTCTCCTTCGGCATATCTATCTGCTCCTCGTTGATCTCTGATGATCATCATCGGGTTCAGAGAATGTAGCTTGGGAGTCAAATGTCTCTCCCTCGCTGCCGAAGTTGTGCTCCGAAACATCATACATGGGCTTCTTGCCCTTCCCTTAGTCTCCCTTAGGAGGTGCTGTCTTTCCTTTTTTGGGGGGGGATTTGCTGCCCCTTTATTGATCACTATGCCTCGTGCTCTTTCACGGGGTGGCATGTTGAGGTTGGTTCTAGCCATGTCTGTAAAAACATCGTAGAAAGTTAGGAATAGTTCAAGAAAAATTGCAGAAAAACAATTGCAGGTAGACTCGCCGAATCGATTAGCAAGTCACCGAATCACTTTGGAGAGCTAGATCGAAGTCGCCGAAAAAATTGGCTCAAATTTTTCTAGAAAAATTGGCATGTCAGCGATGGGAGGGGCATTTCGGCGAATCACCGACAGCATTCGACAAGCACAGACTAGCCCGCCGAAAGTTACAGTGATTTTAAGGGTTAGGGGCGTAGAAAGGGCAATCAAACAAGACTTTCGGTGAACTCAGGCGTCTCGCTGAAAGATACAGAACAAATACTTAACATTTCACGAAATTAAAGGCGATCAAAGGGGGATTTGGTGAACCACCGAGTGGTTCGGCGAGCTAGACCCAGCTCGCCAAACCGCCCAACATGCCTACTTTCAACCCCAACTTCAAAAATCAACTCCACAGCCCCCGAAAACAAAATCAAAGCATACAAAAACTCAATTAGACTCAGACTCATAAGGCCCATGTCACCGGGGTAATCAAACTTTCCCTGGTTTGGCCAAAATTGGCCATTTGACGACTTAAACCCTTAAGAATGACGTAAACCGCTCCATCATTGGGCAAAACATGTCATTTGGCACAATTATGGGTTACTCAGACTTCACTCGACTAGACCCAACAACAAATAAACACAACCCAACAAGATTTTGATCAATTTTTAAGCACATAACTCGGGAAATTAACAATATAGGCAATTTAAGCAAGATTTTGAAATTAAAATCGACAAACAAGCACACAAACATAGATTCAGAGAGGCCCAACACACATGATGAAGAACAAAACGATTGCAAATAAGAAAAACCACTAAATACATGTTTGGGGTTCAAAAAACCAACCTTTTATGCTGAATATAGAATTTGAAAGGCTAAGCGGCAAAGATTTCCAACTCCATACACGAGATTGACGACTAGAAAGAGGTGAAAACATATAAATATGGGAAATATAGTGTGGGTGTGATCTTTGGAAAGTTAAAAAGTGAGGGAATGTGAAAAAGTTTGAAATTTTAGACCTTTGGCCTTTAAAACCGTCCAGTTTTCGCCCTTTCAGCGACATTAATTTTGCTCGCCGAACCACTCGGCAACACGCCGAACCACTCGGCAATACGCCGAGTGGTCACTTACCTCGCCGAGTTTTACAGGACCTCCAGTTAATGTGGGGGTCCAAACGGCGGACAAAGTCGGGGTCGGTGACCTGTTCGGTGGTTTGCCGACTTGTCCATGGTCCTGCCGAGTTTTACAGACTCCAACCTTAGAATTTTTGAGTCCAACGATGGTCCAACGATGGTATAAGTCGGGCTCGCCAACCATTTCGGTGAGTCGCCGACTGGGACTTTTTCTTGCTAACCTGCTCTTTTCAAACACATTTTACATTTCAACCTGCAAAATCAGCACACGATTATTTCAAAAACAAAAAGAAAGCGGTAAAACTTGGATTGCCTCCCAACAAGCGCCTTAGACGTCATTGTACGACGCAAGTCCCCACTCAATCTTCACTCCTGGGGTAGAGATGAGATAACACACGACTCATTTGGGTCTCTAGTAGCTGAATCGACATGGAATGAGAGGCAATTAGAGGCAATGAGAGGCAGTCATCTGATTCAGCAGTGAGACATTCTCTTTTATATGTTTCAACACTCTGTCGTGTTCTTCGACTTTGTGGAGAATGAATGAGAGTATCTTCTAGTTGTCCACCCTCGTACTCCTTGGGATTTCGACGCTCGTGAGAGAGAATTTACAAATCTTTCTTCTTTTATGGTACCTCAAATTCCATAATCATTTTGGCCAAGAGATCCAGCTGAGTCAACAGTGTGGCCAAATTCTGGTCTTTCTCTGTCTCCTTGTTGATCTTGGCCATGTGATCAAGGAGTTGGGCTGCTAATGGATAGGGCAATCGTGTGAGACCACCTGGATAAATCTGGTCAGCCACTCCTTTATTCTCAGGACCAAGACCTCTATAGAAGCAGTCCAATAACATCTTGTCTGGAATTTCATGAGTTGGGCATTGCAACAACATTGTCTTAAATCTCAACCACAACTCATGGATTGCCTTACCCTCCAATTGCCTGAAACTTAGGATGTAATCCCTAAGAATCATCATTTTTTATGAAGGGTGGTTCACTTGGTTACCGTTGCTACAAGACATGCTCCTTTCTTCTGTTCTAAAAAATCAACATGAAAACCAAAACTGAAAGTAAATAAATTTAACTATGACTAACAAGAACAAAATTCAACTTCACCAAAAGAATCTTAACCAACACCACTCCTCGGCGGCGGCACCATTTTGATAAACGTTTCAAAAACACTTCATCCAATTCTAAGTGTGAACAATCTCTAGTCAGTATATAACTCAACTAAATGAGTTGGGGTCGAATCCCACAGGGAGCGGTACATGGTTAAGATTCAATAGTAAAGTATGAATATGGTCAAATCAGTCATAGGAATAAACATTATCGAATAAAAACTTAATTCAAGTAAAGGGGTGACACGAATGTCAAATGGGGGTTTTGGTTTGAAATTATCAACTACAACATCAACAAACAATAAGAAATAACAATAATGAGACGGGTTCTTGGGATGTGATTCGATTATAGGCTAATATAGACAAATGGGTAATTGCAGCTTTTAGAAAATAACTAGATATTAGTGAGTAAGCTAGACTATAGAGGAGGTAAACTTTCTCTCAAACAATTTACCCCGAATCAAGTCAATTTCTCTAAACAGCGACAAACATGCAAAATAAGAACAACCCACACCTTAGTCCATTTACTCTCTCGAGCTGAATGTGTGGAATTGGGTTTAGGATTCACTCTGTCGAGCTGAAACCATGAAAACCCAATACCCACAGATCATCAATCAATATTCGTAGTTTTAAAACCTCTCTCTCGATCAAGCCAAAAACACAAGGGTAGAACTACATTTGTAACTACAATTCTTAAATTAAACCACAATTATTGATTAAACTCACTTCTAAATAGCATTTAAACTAACAATTAGCAATACTTATAAACTAAATCAACCCATAATCACATAATCACACCCCAAGAATTGGGGGTTTAGCTAGACATTATAAAAAGATAAAAATCGTTACCTAGTTGAGTTTCCATCAACTTGGTAAGATTAATTTTGTCTTTACAATGTTCCAAGTCGAAGAAATTCAAAGACCTACTTCCAATTTCTCAAAAAGTGAAAAACTTCAATTCTCTAAAGCTTAGGAAGAACTAGAGAGAACTTGTTTCAATACTCAGAATAATTACAATACGAAATGAAAATTAGATGTAATGAAAATATGATACTAAACTAAGTGTTCAAAAATGTATTTATAGTCTCCAAAAATTATGTTGCAAAGAGTCACTCGGCGAAGTAAGTCGGGCTCGCCGATCCACTAGGCGATCCACCCTTTGGTCAAATAACATCGCCTTTTTGCCTTGGCTTTCAGCGTCCTCAAGGTCTGTAACTTTGGGTGATCCAACACGGCATCGCGGAACCAATCGACGATCCACTGACTACTCCTTTCTCTCGCAAACTTGGTTCTTTCCTTCAGGGCATAGCACACTGGAACTTTAGGCGGTCAAGAAGCCGTTCGGTGGCTCGCCAAGTAGACTTGGCGATCACTAGTTTTACTTTTCTTCATTCTTTCAGCTCACTTTGTTCCTTTTTGCAAATTAGTGTCCTTGCTTTATTCCTCAATCTAAATACCTGGAAATCAAGGGTTTTACATCAGTTATTGGCACAAAATAAGCATTTGGGGACACTAAATCATTGTAAATAAAGCCCTAAATGAGTCCAAATCTTAGACTCATCAGTACACCACTCTACCAATTTTTTTTTCACTATTACAAAATAAGTTATAAATAATGGAAATCCTATCTGTCTAAAAAAAAGAACGAACCTAACTTGATCCTAGGAATTGAAACTATGGTAAAACAAATGTTAAAAGTTAAAACAAGTTACCTATCTATATAACATATTGTTCACGGGTTGCCTCCCGTATAGCGGTTGGTTTAACGTCGCTGCTCGAGTTAGCTTGGATCATTCGTCGTTCAACTCAAGAGCCTCTCGATCACGATCCAAATCTTCACCAAAGTAGTGCTTAAATCTTTGCCCGTTTACCAAGAACGTTGGGCCATTTTCTCCTTAAAGTTCAACGGCACCATGTTGTGTCATCCTTACCACTTCGATGGGACCACTCCATTTAGACCTTAGTTTTCTGGTGAATAACCTTAATCTAGAGTTAAAAAGTAGTATCTTTTCTCCCAGAGTGAAAGTGCGAGGAATTATGTGCTTAGCATGCCACCTTTTCATCTTTTGTTTGTAAAACTTTTCATTCTCATACGCATGAAGCCTAAACTCCTCAAGTTCATGTAGTTGATCCACTCTCTTCCTACCAGCCAGCTCAAGATCAAGATTTAACTTCTTTATCGCCCAATATGCTTGGTGTTCTAATTTTGCTGAAAGATGACATGTTTTGCCGAACACTATGTGATAGGGAGAAGTCCCTATGGGTGTTTTATATGCAGTTCTATACTCCCAAAATGCATCATCCAGCTTCTCAGACCAATCCTTTCTTTGTGCATTTACCATTTTTTGCAAGATTTAATTCACCTCTCTACTCGATAGATCCACTTGCCCATTTGTTTGAGGATGGTAAGCTGTATCAATCTTATGACAAATCCCATACTTAGCAAGAAGTTTTTTCACTAGATGGTTAATGAAATGCTTACCTCCATCACTTATGATTTCCTTTGGACTGCCAAAACGAGTGAAAATATGCTTCTTGATGAATTTAATCACGACTCTTGAATCATTCGAGGGAAGAGCTACAACCTCAACCTATTTGGACACATAATCAACGACCACTAGAATATATTGGTTCCCACGAGATGGCAGGAAGAGACCCATGAAGTCAATACCCCAAACATAAACTATTTCCACCTCAAGAATGTTACTTAGTGGCATCTCATGTCTTCTTGATATAGTACCCAACCTTTGGCATTTATCACATCCCTTCACATAAGCAATATTATCTTTAAATAAAGAGGGCCAAAATAAACCAGATTGTAGTACCTTATGCGCTTTGTGCTCTCCTACATGGTGTCCTCCATATAGGCTAGCATGAGAAATTTCGAGCACTTTCTTTACCTCATACTCCTTAATGCATCTTCTCACCACCCGATCCACTCCTTGCTTGAATAAAAATGGTTCATCCCAGATATAGAACTTAGCATAATGAGTTAGCTTTTTGTTTTGTTGGGTGGTTGCATCCGTAGGGTACTCTCCACTTACTATCAGAATCACTATGTCCGCATACCAAGGTACTTCAGAGATATCTAATGCCATCAACTGTTTATCCAGAAACTCTTCTCGGATTTGTTCCCCTTCATGTACATGGGAAAAATCTTCCAACCTAGACATATGATAAGCTATTTGATTCTCAGTAGACTTTTAATCTTTGATCTCAAGGTCAAATTCTTGGAGAACTAATATCTACCGAATCAGCCTTGGTTTAACATCCTTCTTATTGAATAAGTACCTAATAGTTGCATGGTCAGTATAAACAATCACCTTAGTACCCACCAAATACGATCTGAACTTGTCGAAGGCGAACACTAGAGCTAGCATCTCCTTCTCAGTCACTGTGTAATTAGCTTGTGCAGAATCCGGGGTCTTGCTTGCATAATAGATTGAATGAAACACTTTATCTTTTCTTTTTCCCAATATTGCACCCACTGCTACGTCGATTGCATCACACATGAGTTCAAATGGTAATTCCTAATTAGGAGCAACTAAGATGGGAGCTTCAATTAAGTTCCTCTTCAACATCTCAAACGCTTTCAAAAACATCTCATCAAATTCAAATTTTACCTCCTTCTCCAAAAGACTGCACATAGGTCTAGCAATCTTGGAAAAATCCTTGATGAATCTCCGATAAAAACCTGTGTGTCCAAGGAAACTTTGCACTCTTTTTACAGAGATAGGAGGGGGTAATTTTTCAATAAATTCGACCTTCGCTTTATCTACCTTTAATCCCAATTTTGACACCTTATGACCCAATACTATTCCCTCTCGAACCAAGAAGTGGCACTTTTCCCAGTTTAGTACTAAATTGGCGTCTTCATATCTAGCAAGTAGTTATCAAGATTCTGGAGACATATCTCAAAATACATCCCAAAGACAGAGAAATGATCTATGAACACCACTATAAAGTCCTTCACTATATCATGAAAAATGGCCATCATACACCTTTGAAAAGTTGCCGACACATTACAAAGTCCAAATGCATGCGTTTGAAAGCATATGTACCATAAGGACAAGTGAACGTGGTCTTTTGCCTGATCCTCGGGTGCAATCAAATCTGATTATAGTTGGAAGACCATCTAAGAAACAATAGTACTCCTTCCCCGCTAGTCGGTCAAGCATCTGATCAATGAAGAGAACTGGGTAGTGATCTTTTTGTGTGGCCTTATTTAGCTTTCGGTAGTCCATTCAAATTCTCCATACAATTACTATTCTAGTGGGAATCAACTCATTTTTCTCGTTATTCACCACAGTCATACCTCCCTTGTTTGGAACACACTACACATGACTTACCCACTTACTATCAGAAATGGGGTACACATTTCCAGCATCTAACAACTTTATTACTTCCTTTCTCACCACTTATTTCATCAAAGGATTCAGTCTACATTGATGTTGTGCACTCGGTTTGTGATCCTCTTCCATATAGATTTTGTGCATACATAACGCCAGACTAATCCCATGAATATCAGCCATCTGCCATCCAATAACTTTCTTTCTCCTCTTTAGGACTCTTGATGCCGCATCGACCTGTGTTTCAGAAAATTCTGCAGAGGTAAAATTTCATTAGTACCCAAATACGCATACCTTAGGTGAGTAGGCAGAGTATTCAATTCCAACTTAGGTGCATCTTCAATTTATGGTTTGGGTGGAGGCCCTAACTCACGATCCAATGGCTATACTCTAAGTTTATGTCTCTCAATCACTGCCAGATTCAAACAAGTCACCATATTTTGAGCCTCATTAACTTCATCTACGTCATGTCCCACTTACACTCTTTCTAAGGGATACCCAGGTGCCATGAGATGCAATTCTATTGCGAGATCTACAACCGTAATAATGGATAACTCATCATAGACAATAGGTAAATTAAAGGCGCGGTAGACATCAAACACTTCAACGTTGTCACGTGATCTTATAGTTAACTGCCCAGCTGCTACATCAATCAATGCACGTCCCGTAGCCAAGAAAGGACGCCCCAGAATGAATGGAACTTCAGGATCAGGCTCAAAGTTTAAGACCACAAAATCCACCAGAAAGATCAAGGAACCCACTTGTACTAACACATCCTCTATTACCCCCTCTGGCTTAGCAATGGACCTATCAATGAGTTGGAGAATTACAGTGGTCGGTTTTGGACTATTTAGCCCAAGTTTCTTATATAATGATGAAGGAATGAGATTAATGCTCGCCCCAAATCACACACCTTCTGGGCATGAACACTTTTCCCAATTGTAATTTTCACAGTAGAACTACTTGGATCTTAAAACTTCTTGGGTAGTCTATTCTGAATTCTAGAGCTGCACTCCACAGTAAGTGCTACCGTTTCATACTCTGTGAGCCTCCTCTTAGCCACGATCTCCTTCACGTATTTAACATACTTTGGAATTCCCTACAAAATGTCAAACAAAAGTAGGTTAATGTGAACCTGTTTAAAAAGAGAGAGAAACTTACTGAAGAATTCGTCTTCATTTTGCTTTCTGAGTTTTAGTGGAAACGGAGGGGGTGGTCTCATTTGGGGAACAAAATTCACAACATTAGAGTTCTTTACCACCTCTTCTGCTTTATTTTCTTTAGTGACTACCTCAATATCTCTCTTCTTTGGAGCTAGTTCCTCAAGTTGCAATCCACTTCTAGTACTCACCACATTCAGTTGCTTAGGATTGGGTTCTGTATCACTGGGCAAACCTCCTTGAAGATGTAAGTTGAGTGCATTAGCTACTTGCGCAAATTGCTTTTCTGAACTCATTTGGGACATTTGGATGTTTCTTATCTTCTCATTCTGCTTATCTATCCTAGCATTTATCTTTGTACCAATTTTTGCCATTAGCTTTTGGAGTAACTCTTCATTAGTCATCCCTCCTTTTGGTGCACTCGGATTTATGCCCTTGCCAAGATTTTGATATTGTTGCCCTATTCCTTGTGGACGGTATTGATTAGACCCTTACGCTTGGTTTTGTAGTTATGGAAGTTCCAACCTTGATTTACCTGACCTTGGAGCTAATGATCCTAATTGGATGGTTGGGCCTTCGTTCGGAAACCACCCATTTTATCATTCACAAGATTCACATCCTCCTCATAAATATTCTCATTAACTGGTTGTGCTCTAGTCTGATAGTTAACTGTATTTACTTTCTCAACATCTCCACTTATATGTTTCAACACTAAGCCAACTTTTGTTCTCAACCGTGCCATCTCCTCGAGAATATCATCATTGGACTGGTTCAGTGTTGACTGTATTAAAAAGTACTCCTTCTAGTAGCCATCGTTCGAGTGCTCCACGCCTTATTATTCTTGGAGATCCTTTCAAGTTTCTCATCAGTCCCCTGAAATGTGTTTGCTCTATAAGATTCTCGAAAAATGGTATCTAGCACAACCTTCTCGTTATCATTTAACCCTCGATAAAAGTACTCATCATCAATTCACTTATTTGGAACACTTCTCATGTAGCCGGTGAGTCTCTCCCATACACCATTAACTGATTCTCCAGGTGTAGCCAAAAATGTATGAATTCTATCTTTGAGCTTCATCTTCTTTGAAACTGGCAAGTATTTGGCTAAGAACACTGCAACTCATCCCATGTGGTAATAGAGTTATATGGTAGCTCGGGCAACCATACTGTAGCATCTTCTATCTCTGATAATGGAAACACTCTTAAGACAATTACATCCATGTCTAAATCATGTCTCCCCACACTACTCATATAGATACTTTGACTTTTCTTATATGAGAATATGGGTCCTTTGATGATAGCCAAGAAAACAACCTGATCTTAGGCATATTTATATGCCAAAGTCATCGATATTTGACCATTATGAGATTGCATTTAAAGAATAATCTTGAGTCATACTAAATAAAGAATAATCTTGCCCATTATGAGATTGAATTAAAAATACACGAAGATTGTGTGTAGTGTATTTTTACCGGCAAAGCACACTTCAGATGTGACGAGGGATAGGGTGGTGTTAGTCTATATGCTGATGAAAGGTATGCCCGTTAATGTTGGGGCAGTGTTAAGGCAAAACATGATGAAGTTTAGGAATAACATGAGGTGGGAATTTTTTTATGAGGGGGTTGATCACCTGATTTCTGAGGGCTGAGGGTATTGAGGAGGAGCAGTTAGATATGAATGTTGCTTAGGCCCCTTACTTGATATGTAATATAGTAGATGCCACTCGGACCAAGGCGCTCGACATGTCACATAGTCATATCTTATCAGCTCAGGAGAAGTAGGTAAGAGATGATAGTGTAACAGATCACATGTTCGGTATGTCAGAGTTGCAACT